CTCCTCTTGTTTTCTCTTTCAGTTTCAGCTGTCAGTAGGTACTTGCATGCATTTTTAGACATTGGGCATCATCACCATGGAAGCACAGTGTGAAGCTATGATTTTAAATCCAAACTCTACAACCTTTCTCGTCCTGTGCCTTCAGACACACACAGCCACTCAATTACAAACAGGCCAACCAAGCAGATTAAAAGTCTCACAGAGCTTTAGTGTCATCTAGTAATATACTGGAGGCTATCAGAGAATTTAAACCGCTCTCAACTCCACTTCAGGCTCAACATGGCATTATGCGATCTCCACAGACAGCCTTAATCCGGCTTATCACATACGACTGCCCTCATCAGGACTCGGGTTACATTTTAGTTTTTAGTCTCTATGAGAAATGTTATCTAATGTAAACTAAATGTTTTTTTCGAAATCAAGATAATGACATTGAGTGACAGGAAATTCTGAATTTCCATTCCCACATTTCATTTAAAGTGAGCTGGTTTTCCCTCCATAACAAGAAAATCAAGAGTCTCTTTTTTGTTTACACAGAATCTGAATTAACAATATTTTTAGAGTAAATATTTCTGGAAGAATTTTCCTTTTCTAGCAGAAAACTTAACATCACTTTTTCTTTATACCGTTTGTAATTTTTGAACAATAAATATTTTCACAGGAACCCAGATCTTAAAATGTTCAGAATGTCCTGAATTTTGTTTTGGTTCTGATAAACATTTTGGGTCAGTATTCTCTTGTAAATGTGAGAAACTACAACCCCTAATCAAATTATTTTTCAGGAGGGATTAAAGAACAAATTGTCGAATGGACAGTATTCTCAGCACTTAAATAAACAAATATGTCCATTTCTCAAGTGTTTTGAACAGATGTTTCCTATTATTTCTGTAATTCTTTTTTCTTTTTTTTTCCTCAATTGACTCTTAAATTGCCACATTGACCCCAAGTGTCATTCACTTTGGTGTTTTTTTTCCGTGCCTATCCATTGCAGTTCCATTTTTAAAAAGAAAAGATGCAGTGTTGGACCAAAGTGTGTAAGAGGGAAACAAGAAAAGAAACGGACATGTTGAAGGCGTCTGAAGACTATATTTTTTTCCGATGCTCAGAGTCGAGCCAGATGGGACCTGGGATTCGCCAGCAGCCAGTGATTGGCTGACGGTGTGGTGGAATGATGCCGTAAGGATGCCAAAGTAGCTGTCGTGATTGGCTAATGCACGTAGTAGTCCACCCAGGAGGCACACACACACACACATTTATTCATGCATGCAAAATATACACGTGTGGGGATTAACCCAAAATGTACAGCGTAAAATTGATGTGTGTTTTTGAAAAACCAAAGTTATGGTGGAACAGGTCTGCGTGTGCGTGTGCAGATTTGGGGAAAAAAGGCATAAACTGAAACCAAAAGGAACCAGATAAAGCAGTGAAGGGGCAGCTGAAGAGGATTTTTCTTTTCTGGAACTACCCCCACCTTCACTCCCACGTGATTCTAAATGAATCAGTCTGGCACCGTCTAGTTTACTAATGAGGCTCTGAGGAATGCTGCTGATCAGAACAGGAGGCAACGGCTTCCATTCTGATGGAAATTTGGCGATACGTTACCAGTTCAGGGCAGAGTAGCTCCACTTCTCCCAACCTCCAGTTAGATGTGTACAAGTAACTGGTTTAACTGGTTTAGTAGTAGGGCAGTGATGGTAATGAGTTCGAAAAGCTGAAAGTGGCACTATACTGCTCACTTCAGCAGAAATTATTTGCGCTCTGATTAAGATGTTAAAGCTCCTGATGACCACATTCTGTCCTAATATTTTCAGATAAGAATGTTATTATTAATATTGTAAATAATATTGTAATTCTAAGCCTAAAGTGTCTTTGTAGAGTTTTTTTTTTGGACCCATATTGCAACCAAATTAAGCTTACTGAAACATGTAAACAGACAATCAAGCACTATATGTGTATTATAGGTATCTAAAGGTATTAAAATTAAAAAAAAAAATTTTAATTCTTCAATTGATACCACATTGTTCAAAAAATGTTTGTTTTGGTACTAATCAAATGATCTGTTCACTAAAATGATATTCAAGTATTTGAAAATGTGTGGTTCTGGACTCCCCAGGCTTTATTACCTTATAGACTCAAAGTTGCCATGTGTTCTTTATAATTTGTTCAGTTTTATTTTAGTAAGTGTAGAAAATGTCACAGAAGAGCAATTGACACTCAGCATCATCTCTCAGCTGGAAAATTGAGCCATGACAGCTTTTAATCAAGTGTAAAATTGTCTCTGCAGGTTTAAAATGTGACCCACTAAAACAAAATATCAACAGAAACTACCTGCAACTTCCTTATAATAAAGAATTTAGTACTGAGTTGAGAAATTAATTAGCAAAAATAAAAACAAATACAGAAGATAATGGTTTAAAAGTATCATGAAACTGATCAATTTAAAAAGGAAGAGTGAAGATCTAATATTTTGGTAACATTTCATTTACAGGATTAGAAGGGGCACCAATAACTGTGGCACCTGGGTTTTCCCATCTTAATGATTGAATTTTTATAAATTTATCAAACTGAGATTGAACTTCTGCAAAAAAAAAAATGTATTTATTTTAAACCTTTTGATGCATCTTTGTCACAGGTGCCAGAAAATGTGGAGAGGCTGTTTGTTTATCAGTCACATGCATTTGTGTAAATGTTTTACTTTACTGAACCATTCTCCTCCTGCACTGCAAGGTAACCATCGACTTGGAACTCCACCTCAGCAAGAAGACTGAGTTCAAATCTTCAGGAAGACCTTTGGCAAAGTACGATGTCTACCTCTACAGGGTGCCGAAAGCCAAACCCCGTATTCTAAACGGGCCAAGCACTAAGACAGCAAATGGACCCAGCAGAACCAGGGCCAGAGTTATAAGGTGGGAAGATGACTTGTACCCACCTTCTCCTCGTTGTTCTGCTAGAAGCCCAGTAAGTACTCGTTCACTGCCAGCCTCTGTGCTCAAAGAGCTCCAGCAGACTAAACCTTTGACTATATACCCCTACAAACTCTGACAAATGGTCTAGTTCTACCTCCCCAACGTGGCTGGTTAGTAAAATGTTTTCTGACTGTTTGTTGTTGGACTTTAACATAAAGAAGAAAAGAAGCTGCAATGATTCTGGAAAGCTTAGAGCAAGCCATAAAATCAGAACGTGTGTTGATACCGTTGAATAGAACCAAAACAGGATTCTGGCAAATTATTGGCTTGACAGACAGCTCAAGCTACAGCACATTGCAAACGTGCAGACTGATGTGCCATCAAGTGCAGCTCATCTGACTATTTCTACCTGAATGCCTGTTTTAAGTGTGTTCTTTTAAGTAAACTGTTCTTAAGAGTGCAAATTGTTGTTTTATACATGTTCCTCCAAAGATGCAAGACGACTGTTCTTTTCTTAGTTCTGCTTTATAAATAAATGAACATATTATGAAAATACTTTTGTGAGGTTCTGATTTTATTTTAGTCACACCACTACAGGGTTATCAAGAACAATCAGTTCAAGACTTTCTTCACAGAAGCAAGCAGTTTTCTCCCTCACCGACAAACTGAAAGTGTGGACATTAAAATGAAATCGTTTCTAGATAGTTTCGACAATTTCTGATGACTGTTGCAGGGCATTTTGTGAATATTTTAGTTTGAAGCCCAAATTCTGCTGAAACTACAATATGGGGTTTTTGTGTATTTACATTCTAAAATTTATTTGACCGTGATGGGTTTGGCCACATGTTTTATGTACATTTGTATAAACAGGGTTCAATTTCTGTCATACTTAAAGTGTGCATATTTTCAGTTTGCTAGCTGGATTTTTTATTTTTTTTTACTACTCATATGTTTCACTTATGGTCAGAGAAGGTATAAGGATTAGGATTAATAAAGGATAAAACAGTTTTACAAAAACAAAACAAAACAAAACAAAAAAAAAAAAAACATTCCAACTGGTTGCAGAAGCACATTTCTCAATGTTTTATGTGTGCAGTGCTGATTGTGGTACTTCAATTATATTTTCCAAAAGTATTTTTGTGTCTGAGATGTTTTTCTTTTCCTCTATATGTTGTTACCTTCCCTAACAGTTTTTTATGCTTTCTTTTTGGGGCTTTTACACCTGACATCAACAGTTTCATAGGACAACTGGATATTTGTGTTACTCCATTTAATTTTATTTTCAAGCAGTGCTCTAAAATGGAGCATCAGAGAACTGTCATAAAATAATAATGCTCTTAGTCGTATCTTTAGGATGGCAATATGTTAAAAACATGAACATAAAAAAGATAAATTAACAAGTTGTGATAATGATGATCATAATGTGACTCAGTGGTGATTCGTTGGAATCGTTGGAAATGACCATAGTCTATGATAAGCATTGCATTTCGTTTAATTACGTTTTCTCTTCCGCTATTTCAAAGCTACACACTGCCACCTACTGATTGAACACAATATTGCTTTGCCTTTTGCTGTTACCTATTAACATCGGTAGATGGCGCTGTCCAAAAACTGACCGAGAGAGGGAAAACGAAGAAGCTGCGATACGTATTCAAAGATCGTCTATATAATTAAACTTTGATAAAACCGCTCTGTCAATGGGCCAGGATTGCTCTTCATTTTCTAAAATCAAATGTTGTTGAAGAAAACTTTTCTACTCAAAACGCAAGAAAAGCTCAATGTATATTACAGAATATGTTAAATAAAGAATTATATAAAGAAAAATTGGTATTGTTAATGGGTGTTGATTTATTACAAATCTGTATTGGGGCACTGTCAGTTACAGAAAAAGGTATAATAGAAAATATTTATTTGTAATATACAAATAATCACATATGTTTGATTTAAATGTAATTATTGACTAAATTTGTTGAATTTATAACCACTTTCACGACTTTTCAAGACTACACGTGTCACCAGTTAACGTGAAACTCCTAATTTGGAAATGTTGAGAGTGAGCAGTCCTGTTTGTAATTAACAAATCTTTGACTCAAACGTTCTCCGACATATTTTTCCTACCTTGGCGAGATAAGCTTTCAAATACTCACACAAAAACATGTTTTTAAACAATGAATAAGAGAGTAGACATTCATTTCCGTCTCTTAAGGAAATCTATATTCTACAAATGTGACATACTTTTTCAAACCGCTGAATTTGTGTTGTACATGTAGTTTAGCCGAGGGAGTTAGCAATGTTTACAGAACTCAACAGCATCCTCAGCGCCTCTCCTGACTCTTTCACACAGGTAAAAACTAACACTTTTGGCTTGGATTTAACCTTAATGTTAATATTTTAGTTACATTAGTAATGACTGTTTTTTTATGTAAATATTTGGTATATATGTCCAGACGCCAGGGAAAATATTGATGGTGTCTTAATTTAGCTACATTTCCGTTCGACAGGAAGAATTTATCCTAGTCTCCGACAGACAGAGTGACGCATCTTTTCTTATTCATCACTTCCTTTCTTTCTACCTACGAGGTGAGTTATAAAATCTACCAACAATAACAACGAAACAGGGTTTTAATTAATATGTTTTTTCAATGTGTCTGTTTTCTGATTCAGCGCGATGCAAAGTGTGTTTTCTGGGCTTGGTGCAGTCATTTTGCCACTACAGTGCAGTGAGTCAAAGACTGGTGAGTGCTTGTTTCCCTTTTATGTTTTATTCTGGGTAGGAGCAAAAATTGCACATTTAGAAAATGACAGGAATGACTGTTTGTTCATTATTTTGTATGATTTTTTTCCCCACAGGGTGTCAGTTTAACACAGGCAAAGGAGAAAGGTCAGCTGGTTTTCTTTGAGGGATTGAAGGAGTGCCTGTCTGTTCTGATCCCAAATAAAAACAATGTGGAAAGTGAAGCTATGAACTTTCTCAGGTACAGATAAATAGGTCTTTCTTATAAAATCCAATCATATAGCTAGACCAGTTCTGATTAAAATACAATCAAATTCAGTAAATTTTCCTCAGTCAGTTTGGAGCAAAGTGTCCATGTGAGCAAGAAAAACCATTTGCACCAAGTTACTGATTTTCCCCTCATCCTGAGCAAACATGTCATGACAGTGGAGATGAACCTCTCCCTTTTAACAGGAAAGAACATTTAGCAGAACTGGACGCATTATGAGCACACGATGTTTGGGCCAGCGATTAGTTTATGAAAACAAACAAACAAAAAAACTGTCTAGTAAAGAGAGCAAAATACAGGGACACTGGATCATGAGTACTTTGTATAGGATAAGAAATAGAGAGTTTGCGTAGTTATTGGCCCAACAGTTTTGTTATACTAGTTATTTTCTTGTCATCATTACCTTTAATCCTTAATTCACCACTCTTTGCGTTCAGGGACCCACCAGTGGGCCTGAGGAGTCTGTATGAGTTTGTTCACTCCAGTGTGATCGGCTCAGGCAGCATGGAGGAAGGAGCAGAGCAGTGGGGACCCAGTGTGCTGCTGGTGGATGACCTCAGCGTACTGCTGAGTCTGGGCGTCGACGTTGGCGCTGTTTTGGACTTCAGCCATTACTGCAAAGCTTTAGTTTGCTCCCAAATGCAGGTGTGACCTCGTATTAAAAAGAAAAATTTTGTCTGCTGTCACTACTTCAATATGTTTGTGACAGAGGTAGCTTTAATGGATGGCTTATTTGTGACTACAGGGGAACATGGTGATGCTGGTTCGCTGTAATGGAGAAGACGATGATCTTGATGGAGATGAAGGATCAGAGGTTCTACTGAAGGGTCTGACCCACCAATGTAATCTTAATCTTCATGTACAGGGTCTCCCCACGGGCTACTGCAAGGACATACATGGTCAGGTGTGTGACTGATGAGAGTTTTCAATTCTTTCATGTTTGTGTTGGTTGAGTAGTGCTTCGAAAAAAAAAAAAAAAAAAAAAAAATATATATATATATATATATATTATTGTGATTTTTACTGCTAATAGACATTTTTTCTTATAAACCCCATTAAAATTAAAATCTATGCCAGAATGGGGAAATAACAGAAATTATTCCCCACTTGTCCATGCCTCTCTGTTTTTGGATGCTCTCTGCTTAAAGCCTGACCTCTTTAGAAATATCCTCATCAAAGCAATATTTGGTCTTTATATGTATAATTTTCAAGAAGTCTGAAAAGGTCACCAGTCAGTTAGAACTTAAGAAATATCTATCAGAACCTGATTATTTACCTAAAGAAGCCTTTGGTTCTAGCATTGTTAAACATACTCATGTGTTTGATGTCAAATATTTCTGACTGAGCTGTACAATAAACTGAGAACTCCTTGTTTTCCAGATGGAAGTTTGTTGGAAGAGGAGACAAGGCGATGCACCACACATGCAGAAAAAACTCTTTCAATACAAAGTTCATGATAAAGGAGCATCCTTTTTTGCCCGAGGGACATCCAGTGCTGTTCTTTAACTCCACATTTTGTTTTTCTCACATGGACTTTTAAAATCAAGAGTTATTATAGTTTTGACTGATGTTCAAACTCTAATTTTTCCTGTTCTATGATCCTGCATTATCATTGTCCTTATCTGGAGGATGTGATCTGTGATATGCAGCTTACTTCCTGATTCCAGGTGACTGTTTATTTATTGGATCTTAGTGATATTACCTGTTTATATTCATGGCAATGTTTAATTAGGATAAATTCAATTTTTATGACGATAGGGTTTATGAACATGCACATTTCTTGAAGTTCAGAAACAGTCTCATCCCTTCTTAAAACCTTTCTTTCAAAGCACAATTTTTTTTCATATTTTAAAATGGAATTAAGCAGCTGTTCTCCGATTGTTTTTTCCCACTAATTTATACCCCAATATCTTGTCTTGTTAACCCCTCATGACTCCTTTCAGTCAGTATGTTTATAGCAGTAAGGTCAATTCCAAAGTATTATGGTATTGTGTTGAATTGGTTCCCATATTTCCAAGTGCATGTGTTGGTACTTCACTATTCCTGACTTGCTGCCACACAGTTGAAAACCATGCACTCACACAAATTTCCATGTTTTTCCATGTAATATTAAAGTAGAAGGAAAAAACATCAGCAAAAACCTGAAACAGGATGAGAAAAGTGCATCAACTTTCAGCTGAACAATTTAGTGAACATCAAATAGTGACGAGAAGCTTTTTGAATTTAATTTTGTTTGTGCAAAAATGAATATTTTTAATAAAAAATGAAAAAAATGAAATAAAAAGTATCATATTGATCATTTATTGCTTGAGCTGATATTATTGTAAAAAGTAAAATTATTTGTCTGGAATTTGTCAGCTATTTTTCATCTGTGGCCACAACAGTAGTTAATAACAAATGAAGAATATTTCCTCCGAAAAATGGTCAATTTAGAATATCCTGAGATCACTGACAACAATAAATAAATGTGTGATACCTCCAGATGTTTGCTTAGTACTCAGTAAATCCAGGTGATTCTTTAGGAGCTCAAGTTTGTGTAAAAATGTGCAGTGCCGGTCTGTATCCACTTGGGGTCGCTTTTGCATTGTTTTTGGTACAGAGGGGTGAGAGGTCGAAGTGGAGAGGTCTTGTTGGGATTTTACAACCAACCAGTAGTTTTTATGCGTTGTTGCTGTGTGTCGCCATCACATTAGAGGAGCTTGTGAGGAGTTTAATACATTTCAGAATAATAGTACTGCATCTGGTCGTTAGTTCACCGAGCAGGAAAACACCGACAGAGTCGTTTGGAGGAAATACTGGAGCTAGTTTAGGTGAGTGTTTGGACAGTGAAGCTATCGTAGTAGCATTAGCCATGCTAGCTCAATGGAAAGCATGGAAGCTGCTGCTATTCTTAATTTCTTTAAATAAAAACAACTTTTAGTTGTAATTAATCCCTGTTCTTGATGATTGTATACTATACTCCAGTCCTGAAATATACATTTTGAAGAAGCGACTGGACTCAGGTTGGCGTTTTAGCTAAGCTAACATTGTATTATTCGCACCCTCCCCCCGAAAAACAAATAGTTATAGTAATACTTTTAAATAAGTTTTTAAAATACCTCCTTGGTTACTAGATTATGTGACTTGTTTTCCCGGTTTGGTCCTTGATATAAGAATTAAAATTAATCTTATACAAGTTATGAATCAAGTTCACGGAGAAGCTAACGTCGCTAAATGTCTGATTGTTGTGCTAGCCTTTAGCTTGGTGCCAAAACAAATTAAATATAGTTTCTAAATGGGTAAAACATATTAAATCAACATTTTAAGGCACTGTTAGTGTGACAAACACTTTTTTTACTTGTTTTCCTGTGATTTAAGATTATGATGTTTAAGTACTTATGGTATAGCAAGGTTTTTGTATTTTGATTGACAGAATTTAGAGATGCTAAATATTGTTTCAAGTTCAAAACCTGCATGCATGGTGATAATTACATAATGTATTAGTTGTTTACTAATTTGAAGCAGATTATAAACTAATAAGATCGTACTGCTAGTTAGGAAAGCGTCAACTGCAAAGTCCATCAGTTTCAGGTGAGCTGCTGATTTGCCTGAAGTGAACACATAAGAAGCAGGAATACTTTAAACCTCTGTAACTTGTCTTATTCAATGGTTTATTTATTATGAATGTGCCAAATTTAGGTTTTTGAAGTGGTTCATATTTTTAATGTGGTGTTGATTTGTTGCATCAAACACAAGCAGCTCCTTGGGCATGTCTGTAATGTCTGTGTTATAACTTGCAGGTGATGTTGCAACAAGGTTGCATCAGCTCCCCTCCATCTATTCATGTGCTTTCTCTCTTAGGTTAAATTTACAGTGAGTGGAAAATAAGTAGTAAATGTTACATAGTTTCAAATTTTCTGCATGCTGTTCTCCAGGAATAATTAATAAGACAAAATTAGTTGGGTCTTTTTCCTGCTTCTATTAAGCGTTTAGTCTAAAATGACGCAACCAATGTGCAGAAACAGTCCGCCTGTCTCACATCATTAGTTATTACGACCTGGTTACTGATCGACAGAAACTTTCTCTCTTCTGCTTGTAAACTGCTGTGTTGCAGCTCATTCACAGGGACCTTGTCTGCAGTTTACAACAGCACTGATGGTCTCCGCTTATCAGCGGCGCATGCTTCAGCATTATGCAACTATGTCACTGAATTTTGATGCAGTTATGCTTGGGAGAATGGATGCAGCCTGAAGCTTTCTGGGATGTTGCTGGTTATTGTTTTTGGCAGTTTGATGCATGTCTTGCACGATACGTAACGGTGCTTCAACATCCCGCTGCAATCAATGAAACCGGGGGCAGCTTTCAAATTTGACTTTTTTGGAAGGGTTGAAAAGAGGTGAGAATTTTAACTTCCTCCCCAACTGTTTTATTTTAAGACAGTTTGATCAAGTTCTTTTTGCTGATGTGTTGTAAAGCTCGCCAAATCTCCACCTAATGGAGGTCATTCAGGGCCAAAAGCCTTATTAATGTAGACAAAAAGTTTGTTGGACACAGACAAAAGTTTAAAGGTTTCTGTCTAAAGTATTTTTGCAGAGTTTTTGCTTTAAAGTTTTCCAAACTCTTTCTGATTATCACCTGCCATAATGACTGAAGAGAACACAAACCCTCCATTGTGAGGCTGCTGCCTACCAACACTTTGCTGTTGGCCGTTGTCCAGAGGCCACTTTCTTTGTTGCGCTGGTGTTTGTAAAGATTCCTTCAGCCTTGGCGTGCTTTTTGAGCAGTAGTGTCTTGGAATCCTTGGCCTAAGAGCTGTGACCCAAGTAGGAGTGAGTGCAATGGGAGGTGGCCACTGGGCCTGCACCCGGCGCGCCGAGTTTCCGATCAGCTCAATCCCGGATTAGTTCACTAACGGAGATGCTGTTGATCCCTTTTGCCGAATCAGGCCTTGCTCCTGCACCCACGTAACCCTGCAGCCCTCGGTGAGCTGAATTGACAGTTTAAAGATGGAGATTTTCATTCAGAGATTTCAATGAGTGCCTCGCAAGAAGAAGTGAGTGGGACTCTGACATTTCTCTGGTAATAGTCTGGAAAGGCTTTATTTCAGACTACTGATTTTTGGCCTTTGCAGAAGCCATTGTGTAAGCTTGCCGTTGCTGTGTTTACTGTTTGGAGTATTTATAACAGCAGATCAAGAGGCTCCTGAGGAGAATTCCTCCCAGGGAATGTTTCCGTCGCTCCCGGGGGGAAGAGACAAGCCGTCACAGACTTTGCTTGACTTCAAAAGGCAGCGCAATATCAACCACAACGCACAGATTAGGCTAAAAAATCGCAGCGCTGCCGCTTTCAAGGGCCATAAACAGGTGGGACCCCGACAGATAAACGGCTCTCCCATCAGCAGGTACTGTCACTGCGGCATGAAGCTTTTGTGTTTGACACAGTAGCTGATGTTGTATGGAGGGAGGTAAGAGAGAGGGTTAGTTAGAAAAAAAACAGTACCTATGCTGTTGAGATTTCTGCTCCAGCTCTGCTTGTGTTTGCCTGATATGAAGCGAGACGGAACGTCACCTGTTTGCTGAGGGAACAGACAGGAGCTGAGATTGAGTTGATACAGGAGGGAGGATGTTTCTGAAGCAGGCGAACCACCCAGAGGAAAAGATTTCACACAGTGTTCACCTGTCACTGTTCAGGCTGCTCTCAAGTGAGAATAAAACTATATTTATAGGAGGAGCTCAGTCAGAGTAGTAGTTTATAATTTTAATGTTTGTGCCATTTCTAATTAAATATGCAACAATTTCTTATGCTTTTTTAGTAAATTATTACTGTTCTTACTGAATTTATGCCTCTGAACATTATGAATGTTATTAGTTTTGGCCTAATTACTGCTCTGAATATGCTTTAAACAAATCTCTTTTCTGAGACTTTATACTCCAGTTAATGATTAATCGATTACTAAATTGGTTAAAGATTATTTTAATAATCGATTCATCCTGGTTAATCCGGTTGAAAGTGTTCCCCCTAAAATAAACAGACTTATTCATTAATTCTTCTGAAAGTTTTGATAATTTCCGAGGTGACCTAAGTGCAGCAGTTATGTATGTACTCCCCTTTATTTCTTCCTGTTAACGTGAAAACACACCCAGAACGTTTTCCAAGAAAATGAGCTCGTAAGTGTTGTTTTCCTCCAGGTGTGGATGGTTTGAGTTGGATGTTTTCTCGAGCCGGGAATGTGCCCACACCTTTTTGGCTTCTGAAAGAGTTGTGTGTTTAATGCTGTCTAGCATGTGACCACAGTTGGAGCTGGCCTAAAAGGAAAACAGATAATTTTTTCAGTCTGCACCATGTTTGCTAATGGAGTGGGAGTATAAGATTGGTCTGGTGTTGAAGGCATCATAGTTTCTTTTTCTGTAAATGTATTGTAGGAATTTCCACTATAAAAACCAACATGAATCATGCATTTTACTTCTTCTGGAGTTTCGCAACAAAATCTTGACAAACCCGAAATGTGCTTTGTATTTTTTTTCCTTCTGCATCCTAAAGAGTTGCTTGAATTTTAGGTTGTTGGTGAGACAAACAAGATATTTTGCAACGTAAACCTATTGAATTTTTCACATATTTGGACTCAGGTGTCTGGATGCTCCGCGGCGCACCGTCCTCGGCCGCCCTGTGCTTCCCAATGGCCGGGAGTTGACCACAAGCACGAGGATGACGCTGCGAGAGCAGCTGAGAGAGAAGATCTCGGCGGCCTTTTACCGCCATGGGCTGCTGTGTGCCTCCTACCCAGTACCCATCATCCTTTTCACCTCCGCCAGCATCCTCACCTGCTGGTAGGTACTCTGTGATGAAGCTCTTATGATTCTGTGCTCAGTTATTTTGTATATCATACTCATTCGGATTTGTAAAGGTTTTCATGCCCCCCCAAACTCCAATGTACTTTATTGAGATTTTATGTGCGCCATTAAATAGTGTTTAATTGTGAAAGGGAGAAAAAATTCGGCATGGTTTTCAACTTTTAGTCACAAATGAAATGCTAACATTGTGGTGTGCATTTGTATTTAACCCCTGTGTACGCTGATAGACTCATGATTCTCTTTTTGGTATGTGTTGGTCTATCACATTGGTGAAAAATATTCTTAAGTGTGTGGTTGTACCACTCAAAGTGTGAAATAGTTGTGAGAGACGCTGTATGTTTTCTGTTTTTCACCTTTAACAGACATGAGTTAAACATTTCTCTGTGCTTTTTGTAGGTCAGAACTTGTTTTATATTTATTTTCTTGCTGATTAGTAATTCCTGTTTTAGGCAATTCATTATTGGTCTAAAAATATGTTATGAAGAGGGAGAAAAATGTGATTGTAAATCCCAGGATCATAAATGGAAAAAAGAGTGACTTACACTCTGGAAAATACTGTAGCTTAAAGTGTGTTTAATTATTCTCATTTTAAAAGAGCAGGATGTCTGTGTATTCTGAAAACCTTAAATTCTAAAATTAAATTCTAAAATTCTTAAAATCTAAAATTAAGACCTTGAAATAGCTGAAAGTAGTCCTTTAATATTTCAATGACAAGTCTTAAATTTAGTCTTGATGGCTCTATTTAATCTCCTATTTGTACATAATTGTTTGTCTTACAGGATTTTCTAAAGTTTGAGACACACTCAGACTTCCTCATTGTGTTTTGTGTCTCGAGGCTGCCACTAACTCACTGATAACATACTCTTGCTAGCTAGCTTTTTTGTGTCCGACATGGGTATGTGCACATTTATCACCAATTTAGAAGTTTTCTGTGGAGATATAAGTCTTAAATTTCACTTATTATGATTTTAAAAAGTCTTTTTAGATCATAATTTTCATCTACGGCAGTTTGGAAATTTTTTGTTCAGATTTGCTCTGTTCTGGCAGAACATGGACTTTGCCCTGACTTTTGTGAAAAATATTCTGGAGACTCATTTGCCGTTTTTGACACGCGGCCTCCAATAACACATGAAAGGTGAGCAAAGTTGTCATGAGGTGTGGACTCACTGAACTGCACAGAATAAAGAGAAAATTTGGCTGAGTTCAAGGCCATCTGTACATACATAACAGCTCCCCCACTGACAGCACCACCACTCACTTAACACGTGCACATACAGTGTCTGCTCTTGCTAAATAAGTGGACCAAGGAGAGGACATAGGTCAGAGACTTGCTTGGGCCCCATCAGTGGAGGGATTGTAAAACAATCGCGGCAATCTAAAACACACTCATGCACCTGCTGCGTGTTCGCCCTGCAGCACGCTGCGGCAGGGTGTTGGCTGCTGCCCGAGGGGAAAGCAAGGGAGGAAAGAGCTCATTGACAAGGCTGTTAAAGGCAATGCCGGGACAGAGGGCTGTGAGAAAGTGGCCCTGTGAGAATGGGATGCCTGTCTCTCCATCTGCCTGACAGGAGGGGGTTTGGCCAAACACAAAAGAAGCTTTTGTATAGGTACAGTGACCTAGAAGCACTGGAGGAGGCCATGGAAAGCTTAATGGAGGGAGGGGGTTGAAAGAGAAAGAACAAATACTTTTAAAGGAGTAAAAAATATTTGGGCAAGAGCACATCATGCACTTTCAGCGAATGCATGGTTGGTCAGTGTTAATCAAAACGAGCGAATCAGCAAACTGAGATTTCTCTGCCTCGTTTCAGCAGCCCCCAGTTAGTGCACATAAACCAACTTTTCAAGAAAGACTAATTCAGGCAGAAAGTCTGAATGATAAATTGACCTAGATATTGTGATAAATGATAATAACATTTTGTGAATGATCACTTTTAACTATTCTAATAATGATAGTGACAGATTAATGCAAGTACACACTCTCAAAGGTTAAAAAAAACTTTCTAAAGAACATCTAACACTAGAACTGCAAAACACTTTAAATATCCAAAATAAACAACAATAATTAAAATGAATTATAAAGTCTTTGTAACCAAAATTGCATTTAAAAAATTTAAAAGGCAAAAGTGCCAGACAGGATTTTGAAGGAAGAAAAAAAGGTGAAAAATAACTACTTCGTACTGGGTATCAAATGTTTGCAAAATTTTTCAAATTGTAGCTTTTAAATTATATTAAATAGAAGCATCTCTAATTATTGTTTAGGTATAAATGATCAAACTCATTTTGATTTATTATGTGATCAATGTATTTATTGCTTGTTGTGACTTTGCTATATTAGCATTTGCAAAAATTTACATACCCCCCTGAGGGTTTTTCTTCTTGTCTCAGAGAAAAATCTGAATCTCACACACATCTCTATTCATCATTCATAGCTCTGTAATGGCAGCATTTTTCCAGTTTTATTGATGTAAGCATAAGAAGGACAATGTTGCCCTCCTAACACAGGCCCAGGCATATAAATGGTGTTGACTCTTGAAGGAGATGAAGAAAAATGAAACAGTTCCCTCTTTATGGAGCATGTCCAACTGGGGCTAGCAGGAAAAGCCAGAGGTTCCGGTTTCATCTTCCCTGAAGGATCAGCCACAAACAAGAAAACACCCATGACTGTCGGTTCTTTGTGACTGTCTTTGTGGCCTCTTACAGTGAACTGGTTCATTGATTTTATTATTCCAATAGAAGATTTGACATATATTTTAAAAACACATCTGGACTCACAGGTAGCAACTCTGTTGTCGTTCTGCCAGCTATCCGTTGCTGAGGCTTCCCCTGCCTGGGACGGGTCCTGTGGAGTTCACCACAGGTGTGCGAGACTACAGCGTCCCTTCCCATGAGCCTCTGGGAGATCTAGAACGACCAGACTGGGTAAGAGATTAGAGGTTACAAATGTATTTAAGGTCTGCAACTGCTGATTGTCTTAGTAATTGATTACTGTGACAATTAATCGGCTACAATAATTGGCACATTCTGTTTTTTATTTAAGCACCAAAGTCGTTTTTTTTTTATAGAATATTAGAAATACATTAAAAGATTAAAATAAACAATTCAATTCATTTTCTAAATAAAAAAGAAGTTTTGTTGCCTAAAATGCAATAATATATAATTTCTTATGAAAAACCCTTAATAATTTGTAACATAGGATGCCTCTACAGCTAAATAAATACTTTTAATATCAACATGTGAAAAGCTCTAACTTAACACCAACACAGTGTAGGGCTGATCTGTTGACTAAATTTCTGGTTAATGAAATAATAATTGGATAGTAAAAGGTGCTTAGTAGGGTTTTTTACTGAATTTTAACCTGGTGAAGCTAAAATTATGCCACTTGAGAATAATATATGTATAAAGTGGACAAATCTCTTAACAATGTCTCACACAAGATTTCCACCTTAGGTTAAGAGCAAATAAGAAAAAAAATGTCTGGTTTTCAGATTTCAGAAATAAAATCAGAAAGTTGTGATGTACAAATGTGTTTTACCATCTTTTCTGTTTTCTCCCTAAATAAAAATCTCTGTACCTGAAAGACTAACTGCACATCACCACTAACACTCTGATCCTACTGCAATTGTGTTCTACTTTCTGTACATAATTGTTCATTTGTCACATAGAATTGTTAAAGGTTTAAGTTATAATATTCTGCAATGCAGGATTCATGTAATTTCCATTCATGTGGTGTTGTAGTACCACGGGCCTCCGGTCGCCTACATCCAGCAGGTGTTGGTGAAGGCAGCCGTGTCTCCGTGGGACAGCAGCCTCGTGCCAGTGGACATGTTTCGGTCTCCTCTGGGGAAAGTCTTCAGTCTGCTGGAGGAGATTCGCAACCACGTGCACTCCGACGGGTAAACAGGCCTGTTACACCAACAGTTTGTTGTTTTTGTGATAAACCGGCCTCCTCACGGTTTGCAGGAGATCAAACAAACTGGTGACCTCAACCTGATTTGCGTCAGCAAAAAAGGAAAACATCCATGACCTTAAAAAAACTAAAACTCTTTCACTTGTTTGGCAGCAGCACTGTGCAAGCTCTGATGTGCACACTGGTTTGTAGGTCAGGCCCTTGTTTACTGATGATCTGGGTTGATTTTCAGGATATGGACACATTAGCCATATCTTCATATTTTACATCAAATTTAAATCCTGAGTCTCTTTAATTTGTCTTTTTTCACATTTCCAATCATTTCTACTTCTGGGTTCTTTTCTCTCCAGCTCTGGCATTCGAAGCCTGGAAGCGCTGTGTCTCCAGGTGACAGACCTGTTTCCAGGGTTGCGGCGGATGCAGTCGGTGCTGCCAGAACACGGCTGCCTCCTCGTGTCTCCTGGCAACTACTGGCAGAACCAGCGGGACCTGTTTGACTCGGACTCGGACCTCCTCAAGACTATTCAGAAACACGAACCGAAAGGACTGCACACCTCAGCGACGCTGCGAGGTAGAAACTCTGCTGATGATTAATGATTATGCAGGATGGATGCAGAGGGAGACGGTTAACTAGAACCCCAGCCCATCAAGTTGTTGTTCTCACTTTTTTAGCACCATAACTCTTATCACATTGCTTGTAAACATTGGATTAATTTGTAATTTTTTTTTGCAATAGGCCAAAACAAAGTAGTGCATTTTTTAAAAAGTGAAAGGAAAACTACATGATTTTTAACTTGTTTGGAAATAAAAATCTGAAAAGTGTGTCATTTGGTCTTTGTGATGCTGTCTGTTCACTAATGTTCTTTAACAAAACCTCTGAGGCCTTCATTAGCTGTGTTTCCCTTATAAATGTGTACAAAATGTTTTTAAAAAGTTTTGCAACTATGGTGTTTCCTTTAAATAAGAAATGTAATTAAAATTACACGTAAATATGTTTGGTCATGCGATGACTTATTAAAAAAGTTGCAGCGCCACGATCCTCCTTTCTTCATCTTTTTCACCAAAATTAACATCTGGTTGTCGATCACATGACCTGTGTGATGTTAAAAAGTGTTTCCATTGTAGTTTTGTGAAATACATTGATTTTGGTTCAGCTGAAACATCACCTCATTTTTTTTTATCATAAAACAAGTGTTTTCAAAATTGTCATGTTTTCATTATAGACCTTTGGTTATAGTAGATTGTATTAATTAATTTCATTCATAAGAGTTTTGCAAAATATTCATGATTATATAATTATGTGTCTATTATAAGCATATAATTTATATTTATGATGAAATTCTTAAAAAAATACATTAATTTATGTGTTTATGCAAATGGAAAATCAGACAGATTTTAGAACGTTTGCTCTTTCCAAAGGTAATAGCTTAATTTAGCTTGTTGAACCCAAACTAAATCTCAAATGTAATGCTCTTTCAAATGATCTTGGATCACCTATTATAAGTCGCTTGTGAGCAAGGATTAATCAAACTAGTGAACTAAAAGGCTTTTATGCTGACTTTGCACAAGCAGTTTAATTTCTATGGACCTTATTTGAATTTATCCTAGCATATTGCCCCGCCTCTCCATTCAAGTGATGCTTAGCCAGAATCTGTGTTATCTCCTTTCAGCATCATGACATCAACATGTCCCAAACGCTGGTCTGTTTTGATCTTACACAGCAGAAATAAATGATCTCATATGAGTGAGGTACATGGTGGTTTTTCATCTATAATGAGCACTCTCATATTCCTGATAACTGAGGAGTAACTCCTGATCATGCTGAAGTCATTTGTCTGACACGTGGTCTTTGGCCACAGCGTAAAAATGTAATTTAGGTCAATTTGCTGCATTTTTGGGTGAAAAAAACATAATCCAGTCTTTGTGTGTTTCAGACCTGCTGTTTGGCGTCCCTGGAAAGTACACAGGAGTCAGTCACTACAACAGGAAGAGAGTGGTCACATACACAATTACTGTGGTTCTTTCTAATTATGATGCAGGGTGAGTTGAAAGGCAAAAAAAAAATAATTTTGGGGTGATATTTTGAATACTTCAGACCTTTAGACAGTCATGAATCCTCCTGACTGGAATATTAATATTTTTAACGTAAGAGTTTTCTCCTCTCAGGATTTAATGTCACATTAATTCGGAAACACCTGTTGATTTAAAGCATGAATGTTTTGTATAATTTAAATGTCAGAGGATTCCAAGGCCTTTTCTGCTTAAAACTGGTAAAATGTCTTTTTTTACATGTTCAGAAATGACTATGAAGTACATATTGCATTCCAACATGCATTTGTTCGTCAGGGGGTCAAACAAACCACTGTAAACCATTTAATGAACTTAATTAGAAGAAGTCCAACAGCTAATTTTGTTCAGAAAAACTTTGTTGGACTCTTTTCCCACAACTAATTTTAAATATATTAATATCTAAGTAGGTTAATGTTTTTCTTAGAATAATTAAAGTTCTGCTTGATGTTGAGTTCAATGAATTTCCCAGCCTGAGATCAGAGTCCACTGAAGAAACTCTTTGTTTTTAAATTAAAACTGAATCTTAAAGGACTCTTACAGAAGTGTTTAGGGCTACATAATTGTTCTTACTGAAAGGAAATTATTTTTAGAATTAAACCGCTGCAAATATACAAGATGAGACCAGAATATCTTGACTTTATGTGCATGTTTATTAGTTCAGGTTAGAGGCAATGTCTGTGTATAATTGAATCATTTTGGACCCAAATCTACTTGGTCAACTTGATTTATTCATAGGAACTAGACCAGAATTTAGCTTTAAAAGAAAATACGGTAAGTTTGTGTTTATTTTTATTTATTTGGTTATATATTACATGCTGCACTGCTCAGCCTAGCTCAATTCAGTTGCAGGCCCTCCCAGTTGCATTTAAACACATTTTTCTCTAAAAGCATTCATAGTTGCACACTGCTCTAATGTATACGTATTACCGCTTTGAGTAACCATAATATACAAAAGATATTCAAATTTCGTCCTGTAACCAAGGAAAAGCTGCTTTTGTACACTCCTTTGCACTATTTTTTGTTTTGTTTAAACATTGTCACGTTCGTGTGTGTGTTCAGCTTTCTGAGTAGCTTGCGGACCCGTCTGAAGCAGCTTCACCCGTCGGCCAACTGCAGCCTGAGAGACGACCACATGGTCCACATCCACTTCAAGGAGGAGATTGGCATCGCTGAACTAATTCCCCTCGTCACCACATACATCATACTTTTCGCCTATATCTACTTCTCCACCCGTAAGTCTGCGCTGCACGTCCGTCCTGCGTCTTTGATCCATTTTGGCTCCACTCTGTGTTTATTTTTTTATTATTTGTAGAGCGTACATTCAGTCCATTGGCTGCTGTGCCTTTGTTTGTGCACATTTGTTTGAGTGCCAAGGTTGTTCCTGTCTGGTATGAGGATAATCCAATGTGATTATCCTCACACTGGAACATTGCACACCTCTGTAAGAATGCAGCAAGCAAACCTCCAGCAGCTTCCAGGGAAAACATTACTTCAGAGAACAAACATATGTACTCAACACAAAGATTTAATTCAAATTCAATGAGTTACGTTAAAAGAAAATTTTTCCCCTTTTAAAAGCAGTTTGTCCAAACGTTTCCAAACAAACTTCTTATGACTGCATAAGAAGTTTGTCAGTAATATTTTTGATATCCTCCTAATATGCTAATGACATCTGTAAAGCTTTATTAGCCTATTTATTCTTAAAACAGCAGGTTTCATTTAACTTTTTTAAGGTATTATTTGAATTAAAAAAAACAAATCTAAATTTACTGTTACTTCAAAAAAGGCACACAGTGTTCATTATTTGTTTTCATAGTTGCCTTTTTTAACCTCATTTGTGATATTGAGATCTCAACTCTGTACTCAAATGGAGATCTGGGTGATGTAAGATTAATTGGTATTTGTGGTTTTTCTTATATTTTAAAAATTTTTATCAGTAAATAAATATCAGTTTTTGTTTTACTCAGTCATAAAAAAGTCAGTTTTTGTTATGACTGACCACAGCCAAAGAAGATGAAACGTAGATATTTGGCTAATTGCCTAAATTTTTGCCCTACTTATTGAATCCCTAAAATTGACAGAATGTTCTCTTTTCTTTAACTAAGACCGTATAAGTTGTAAAGTAAACTTGAGATAAAACAGTTCAAGTGGATTAATACGTTACATTTATTAGAGGGAAATAAAGGCTTTTTTTCACGCTATTGCAGGTTTGAAGTTGTAAAAGAAAGAATTGATAGCTACAGCTATTGCTGTACTAAGCGATAAAATATAAAAATCTTTACTAAATATTAGTTGTTTTAATTAAAGGTTAACTGTGCATGTACTGTATGGTTTGTAAAATAATTACATCCATGCTAAAGTGTCCATCAGATATTAGTAACCAGAGAGCAACAAAGGGGTGAAGTAATCTCAAATAAAAAGTGAATCAATAACCTCCTCCTTCCTTGCAGGTAAGATCGACATGGTGAAGTCTAAGTGGGGCCTGGCGCTGGCTGCTGTGGTCACAGTCCTCAGCTCCCTGCTCATGTCTGTGGGACTGTGTACTCTGTTTGGCCTGACGCCCACGCTGAACGGAGGGTAGGAGTGCCCACATTTTTCTCATGCTTTGGTTAAGATAACGTAAAAAGGTTTGGTTTGTCCTCCACCACCAGACATGGTTGGTGAGAATTCAACATTTTTTCGTCAGTTTTCACACTTTATGGTTTGGAGAGATATTTTTCAAAGCCAGCACTTTTTTACTTTCAAAAAGCTGCTGAAAGGATCTAAATGTAATTTAGGATGATTTGTTCAAAATGTATTATGACAGTGAGTAATACTCCCATGTTGTTCATATATGATATCACACATTGAAATCAAGGCTTTTAGTTTCTGTACTGCTGTTAGAACAATACAGCTCTTATGGAATCCCCTTCATGTTATTTATTTACCTCAGTATGTCTTTATTGAGGTAAATATTTACTCCCCTAGGAGACTCTTAGTTTTATTATCTGTTGCCTTATTCTGCTTACTCACTTGCATTCACACACAACCGACACACATGCTTCAGACTTTCTGTTTCCTCCACGCTGATAACAGACTGATGTCTGTTAATGTTTATAACCAGAACTCAAAAATCAGTGTGTCACTGTTGGTAGGACAGGAAGCGGGTTGGACTACTTCAGAGGGAGGAGATTCTGTCTTGTTGACGTTAACTGGTTTCGTCCAATCATTTGAGGATTATTAAAGAGCTGACATCGTGGCGTGACAATGGCACCCTGGTGTTCAACCACTGCCTAAGATCCACGCATGTCTGCCGTAGGCTGTGCTCATTATGGGTGGGCTTGTACAAACAAAACCCGGGCAACTTCAACTTAAACTGTTAAACCTGGAAGACCCAGGTTTAAAATATTCTTAAAACTAATGACTTTTTCTATGCACAACTGATTGACTCTAATTTTTAAAATGTTTGTTGTTTGATTAATAACTCAAAAGATGCAACTTTGGCTTGTGTAAACTGCTGAGTCATGATTGGCTTCACACTCAAGGCTACAAAGCCTACCCTGCGCATGTGTGCGTGTGTGTATGTGTGTGTGTGTTTATGTGTGTGATGTAATATGTAGAGCTGCTGACTCCTCTGTGACCCAGTTATACACTTACCTCCAAAGCTCCTGCTTATCGAAACTCTCACACTAATCTCTCTCACTTTATAATGGGAGGAAATTCCCTGCAGGCATCAGTCAGTTGCTAACTAAATGTTCTGAATGGCTGTTTTCCTGAAGAAAACCTTACTTCTCTCTCAGAAAAATCCCTTTGACTAACAGATACTATTGCAGTTTGTGTGAGCGTTCTCATTCTTATGACATGATTTTAATGTTAACCACTTTTTATGGTGCATGAGGATTATATTTATTTGGATTGTGGTTGGTTTTTTATGCGTTTATAACTAATTGAAGAGGCTTATCTTAAGGACCAGATAAGTCTGATGAAAGTGGATTATTTAGGTGCTTACACCACTTGTATTTTGTAGTTTATTGCCCAGACCTATCAAAAGTAGGTTTGGGCAATAAATTGATCTCATTGATTCTGTTTATGAAGACATAATTTTTGGATATTGTTTTTTTTCACCAAAGCACACTTTGAATTTGTGTGGCTCAGTTTTATCAGCCCTCCCATTGCATACTATCTTGTTAGGAATGGAGCTGATATAACACATTTTGTTGAAAGGGGAGTCAAACATCCAGGAGAAACATCTTCAGAGAACTTTCATTCAGCTCAACATGTACGATGCAATGTCTATATGCAAACAGTGTTTATGAAGTTAGAAAGGGTTTTTGTCAGACAGAAGAGTTTCTAAAATTGCTTTGACAATGCTGCAAATGCCAGTTGTGATTTCTTTAAGCTTTCTGACTCATTCTTTTTGTTTCCTAATTGGTTAATGTACCTTTTGTTTCCTTGCAGTGAGATCTTCCCTTATCTTGTTGTTGTGATCGGCCTGGAAAATGTGTTGGTGCTCACCAAGTCTGTGGTTTCCACACCCGTTGACCTTGAGGTCAAACTTCGAATTGCTCAGGGTAAGGTTTTCACCCAGTCATCATTTTAGGATTCACCGGGATTAAAAGCATGTAGGACCCTTAATGTTTTGTCCTTTGCTTCACTAGGCCTTAGTAATGAGAGCTGGTCTATCATGAAGAACATGGCCACTGAGCTGTGCATCATCCTGATTGGATATTTCACTTTGGTTCCAGCTATCCAGGTTAGAAAATTTTTCTTTAATGATTGCATCATGAGAAACAAGATGATTTTGTAAAAAAAAAAAAAAAAAAAAAGATAAACTTTAAGAATATAAAGTGATGAAAACAAATTTTTGTCTTGTGCAGGAGTTTTGTCTTTTTGCTGTCGTGGGGCTCGTTTCTGACTTTTTTCTGCAGATGTTTTTCTTCACAACAGTCCTGTCTATAGATATTCGCCGAATGGAGGTAAGACTTGCATGAAAAAACAAACATTTGATAAGAAAACATTTTTTTTTTACTTCTGAGAAGGAATCCTACTTCAGACACAGCCTAAGTTGTTACATTAGTTTTTTTGCGTAAACAACTGTGTGTAGCGAATAAATAATAATCAATTAGTTCCTTTGTAACTTCAGTGAAGGTAATATTTAAAATGAATCTAAATTAAATACAGCTGGCTGACCTGAACCGCCGGCTTCCCGCCGAAGCCGGCTTGCCTCCTTCAAAGCCGGGACCCCTGCGGACACGTGAGGCCCCTCCACCGCCTCGGCCTTCCCCTCACACAATCACTCTGCAGACCCCGGCCTTCAGGAACCTGAGACTCCCTAAAAGACTGCGTGTTGTGTACTTCTTGGCCCGCACACGCTTAGCCCAGCGCATCATCATGGTGAGTCAGTTTAATTCTTACTTAAATTAAAACAAATAATTAAATTTTTTTTTTTTAATCTTTTAATTTTATCATTCTGAAATTGCAGTACTTTTATTAAGGTTTATTAAACCATGAGTCCATGGCCAAACCCACCTCAACAGATTCACAAGTTTTAATTGTGTTTTTTCTCTACATTTTCAGGCTGGTACGGTAATCTGGATTGGCATCCTCGTCTACACGGACCCGGCTGGAATCCGCACCTACCTGGCTGCGCAGGTGTCCGAGCAGAGCCCCCTGGGGGACTCCGGCGGAGGCGGTTTAAGCCCCCATCTGGCGGTGGCACCGGTTTTTCGTGGCGGGGATCCTACCAGCACCCTGAGCATCCACCATGCTCCGCCTCCAACTCCTCTACCCGAAAACCAATCACAAGGTCACCTTGGCCCAGCAGGACCTCTTCCCCATGCCCCGCCCTCCGTGCCCCAGATCACCTGGGGGGCTGAAGATGAGGAAGGATGGAGGAGATTGTCTTTTAGACATTGGCCGTCGCTTTTCAGCTACTACAATATAACTTTAGCAAAGAAGTGAGTATTGCCTCAAATTACAAATTTAGTATTTTGTCTGTAACTCTAAAATAGGAGACTGGATTTAAACATTTATTATGTTGAACTTTATGCAAGTAAAAACATTGTATGTACAAATATATAATTAGTATACATTTGGTTTGGTTTTATTTTCCTTTTGATTTCAGTTTCTAGTTAAACTTATAAACTTTTCTCTAAAATGCCAGCAAAGCATTATTAGTAACTTCAGTAAAATCACAGCAGTACTTTTATCAAATGACTTGCATTGAAATAATGGTTTGGTCAGACTTTTTCTTTGACTTAAAAACTGTATTATAGCAACAGAAACAATATTATAGGATTTTTATTATAAATCTTAAAAATGATTAGAAAAACATGATTCTGCCAATCATTCAAGACATACATTTTTATTTGATTTCAACCTTCTATTACTTTAAGAGTGGATTTTGTTATTCTGTATGAAAACAGCTTTGTTTTTTAGTAAAAAAAAATAAAATAAAGTACCCTAATGTTTGCACTACGATTGCAAGATGACATTCTTAATAAATCTAACATTACTGACCTTTGACTTTACCGTTGAAATTACTTTGAGCTGCTTTTTTATTAAAAGAAAAACATGAATTTTAAAGCTGGGTCTTCCTTTATTTAAAGTCCAATTTCTAGATCAAAAATATCTTCCTCCTTGTCAATTTTAGGTACATCAGCCTTCTTCCGGTAATTCCCGTCACGATTCACTTGAGCCCCCAGGAGGCCATCGACACACGTCACCCTCAGGACACGAGACACCCTCCTCAACTAATCCCTAAAGTTTCTGCAGATATACAGACAGACCTCACCCTCTACAAGTAAGTATTTACTTCTGGAAGTATTTAAGGTGAACTTAATGACCACATTCACAGGAAACTGCATGATGAAATAATTTTAAGTAGTATTTATTTATGCTCATCTAAAAGTTGTGTCTTATATGCAGAATGCTTGTTTACCACATGTAACCCATTTCATATATTTTGAATAAGTACTTGCCTTTGCATTGTACTTTGTGCAAAAGGGCATCCAAATTATTTTGTAAGAATTACTACAGAACCTGAGTGAACCAAGGAGCAATCGACAGTTTTAATGTCAGACTTCACAAATTAATACGTAATACTATAAAGGCCAGTATTTCTATCCAGTCACCTTTTATCACATTCTACATCTACATTCTCTCCAACAATGTCAGAGTGTGGAGTTGAGTTGTCTTTGTTGTATAAGACATTGTGTTTTCTCCCAATTGCAGTTCACTGGAGTGGAAGCTGATCTTTTCATTTCAGACTGTATGTTAGTTTTCAAATATTTGGGTCAGGGTTGTGACCCTCACAGTTGGAGAAGAGGCTGTTGAGTTCATCTGACCCTGAAACAGATAGAAGACCAGTGTGCTAAAGATCAGTGTTGCATAATTTAGTGAGGGGCATATGATGAAACCCAAAAAACATATTTTTAGAACAATCATTTTGGGTATTTTTAACCACAGGGGGGATAAGTTGGTAAAATAGATTTAAATTGACTGGGAGATTCTCTTACTGGGAATGTCTCGCACAGATTCCAAGTATTCCAAACAAAACGTTTCCGTGTCCTCCTCCCAGATTTCTGAAAAATTGCTGCTGCCCCATGCTGGTAAAGATAAACCTGAGGCATTGTTGAGTTAACATGCGATTTTCTTTGGAGCCAAGTGTAGACAGGTTCTTACACAGAAGTGGAATGTGCATTGGTTTCTTTCCAAACATCTCCTTTCACTGGCTCGAATGGTGAAAAAAAAAAAATGAAGTACAAATCATGGCCTAATTATTCCTATTTATGTAAGTTCTGTGCAATGTTTTTCTCTTTTTTTTCTCCTTTTCTTAGATGAAGAGTTAAGACCAGATACATTTTATCCCCTCATTAGATTTAAACGGAATAAAAAGGAAAACATTTTTTGCATAATTGTTTTTGTTTTTTTTTCAGAAATAAATGATAAAATGTTGAGTGTTCCTTTACAGTCAACATTAATTGAAAGTTTTAACACTTAGAACTAAAGTTGATTAAATCCTTCCTTTTTCTGTTCTACTCTTTACATTTTTAATTGTTTAAAAAAGGAAAATTCAGGTTGCTGTAGTTTAGAAAGTAAAATAACCAAGTTCTGCTCATGTTAGGATTCTTCAAGCTCCAAACTTTTACTGGATACATTAAGTTGTTGCAAAGCCAGTTTTGCTCAGAGAAGGTAATTTTATTATCATTTTAACTCCACATTCCTTAGTTGAGAGCAGGCGGATTTTCCTTGTGCTGGTCAGGATCTTGTGAAATATGCTTAAAACATAAATATCTCCATAGGTGGAGATGATTGCTGGTTCATGGAATAGAAACAAATTTCTACTCCGCTGTTATTCTGAGGGAATTTAATCATTTCTGCCTTCTTCTCCCTGCTTCCTGTCCAGGGTGGCTGCTTTGGGCCTGGCTGCAGGGGTCCTGCTGGTTCTTCTTCTCTTCTGTCTCTACCGCGTTCTCTGCCCCCGTAACTACGGCAGAAATGGTGTTGCTCACGGGCGTCGGCGACGAGGCGACCTGCCTTGCGACGATTACGGTTATTCTCCACCTGTCAGTGAGATCTCTCCTCTGCTGCTGAGGGGACACAGTATGGTAGGAAGTGCTTTGGAAGGCTAATAAAAATGCTTCATGGTATTATAGAACTTGTTTACAAACATGACTTCACTCATTGGTTCTTGTAGGACATCGAGTGTTTGGCTAGCGATGGGATGTTGCTGGCCAGCTGTTGCTTGGCGGGACAGATCCGTGTTTGGGATGCCCAGACTGGTGACTGCCTGACGGTCATCCCAAAGCAACGGTGAGGTCACAATCTGAATTTCTTCTTCACCTACGCTGCCCTTACAAGCTGTCCAGACTTTAACCAGTTTGATTATTTACAATTCTTCTATTGGGGACAAGGAAAAGAATTATATCGTTTAGTCTTTTTTATGAACCCTTATCTGCATTTTATGATGCTGTCATAAAAACACAGAGAGGTCAGGTTGACATTGTGGGAAGGTTCCACGTTGTAATAATGACTAAAGTACTCCCTCCTGTTCACTGTAGTTCATATCTTTGCTCTATAGCTCTACAAACATGTTTAAAAGTAAACTGAACCACGAAATATGTTTAAATTTCTTGAAGCAAAAGTTCTTGTAGTGAGTTCTCCAAATGATTTCCTAATTTGTATTACTGGTACAGCTAAAAAATTTTAATATTATGAAAATATTAGAAAATGGAACCTGCATATTATTTATATTAGAGTAAAATATTTGAAACCTTCATTATGATTTTTAGAGTTTAGGGCTTACAAATAATGTAAATGTAAATGTTTTGCCAAATGTAATGTTATGTCTGACAAATGTAGATTTAAAATAAATGTTTGTACTTTGTTACTTTCACTGAAGGAGCACTGATAATTTAAGAGAAACATTAAATCTTAAACATGAGTTAATTTGTTCATTGGGGATGAAAACGCATGTTAAGAATTCAGTTTTTAACAAAAGAACTGGAATCATTCTTATTGGCAACCCCAACATTTCCTACAAAATGAAAGTGATTAAAATATTTTTGAAATTTATAATTAGCTTTTTAAAATTTAATCTGAGTTTTCTGGGAACTAATTAGGAATGCAAGACTCCTATTTCTTTGGGGCACAAATATGGCATGACACAGGCACATTTCTCTTTATCACTACCAGTGAGGCTTAATGAGGATCCATTTTTATTCATTATGGCACCAAATTGCAAATCTGCAAAGCTTATTGTTAAAAAGTCTAACAACCAGTAGATGATATTTTTGGAAAGTGTTTTAAAATCCTAAATATAAAGATGTGAAGCTTTCTAGACTGTTAACTGGAATTGTGTGCCTTAGTCTGATGAGAGTAACATTAAATAAAGGACAAACATGTGGTAAACAGCTTTATTCTACTTGCTATGTGCACTGAAGAATCTGATGCTGTGTGTCATCTCTTCAAAAGTCCCCATAAAGTTTAGTACATTGCATAAATTATTGGAAATGCTAGATTTAAAAAAAAAAAAAACCCAAAACACGGAAAAATATGAAAAACATGAAAACAGTTCCAGTCACAAAATTGGTGATTTTGTTCAAAACAGTAGGTTTTTTTCCTGCGCTGAATAAATATATTCAAGTTAAAAGTTGGTTATTTATATTTGTTCAGTGTGATTTTGGTCCGATAAATAAAACTGAGCCATATCAACTGATATTTTTCGCCAGCATGTTACTGCTTGTTTTTGGAGGTGGAGGTGAGGAGTTATAGTGATGCAGCACAGGATTGTGGGAAGTTTAATTGAAGAAGAGAAGCAGTAGTGAAGTCAGCGATGTGGTTATTTTTCAAGGTTATGAAAGCTTAGTGAAATATATAAAATATTCAGTATAGGAAAATACCATCTCTGCCTAAACAGCAACATTAATATCAGTTTTCACATCAGTGCAGTTTGAAGGCTTTTCCCATCTTTCCTGTCATTTATTGTGACCTCTTTGAGGAAAAAGCAGGCTGCTCTCTCTTTGTATCCATCTGATTGTTCTGGTTTCTCTACAGATTAAGACGATGCAGCAGCAGTGGCTGTTGGGAGCAGCGAGACGTCTGGGACACGATAACTGCAGAGTCCGACTGTGCCTGTGAATCCAGAGACCCGAATCTCGGCTGTAACGGTGTATCGGAGGACGACTGCTACCCGCTGAGACGTCGCACCGCTCCGACCCGGCCCCCTCTCTTCACCGACCAGCCCGACCTGACTCCGCTCATTGACACCAACTTTACCTCCCAGCCGCCCTCCAACCTCGCCACGCCACCCAGAGGAGGGTTTGACTTCGGAGGTCTGGTGGAGCGCGCCTACATGGAGCATGAGCCTCCGTCGCCGTCTACATACCCGTCTCCTTCCTCTGCCTCCTCCTCGCCTCCTTCAGCCACACATCTCCAGAGGACCCAGAGCCTGGGGGACACATCCGGGCCCCCACATCAGGCTGCCGGGGCTGGGACGCAGTCTGCTGGAGACTGGGAAAGCTCCGTCTGGGCCATGGAGCTGAGAGGGAACCTGATAGCTGCTGGGAGGAGCAGCGGCAAACTGGAGGTGTGTGAAACTAAATTAAATGTTGTTCTGGCTCATTTAGTTCAAGAGTATTGTAGATGCTGATGGCTGTGGACAGAAAAACTCACTTGCAGGGTAAACCCCAACCCTTGTTTCGGGTAGAACAAATTTACTGACACAGAATGTTGTTTCTTTTTTATCTTAAATGTAAAATTTATATATTTATTATACAATTTTGGCCTAATTGGTGCTCTGAGTAAGTCCTTCAGCAATTGGGCTTCTGCAGTGTCTGTATGCTCCAGTTAACGATGAACCATTTACTAAATTAGTTGACGATTATTTCAGCAATCAATTAATTATGATTGATATTTATTTCAGCCCTACTAAGTACTAGACAACATTTGAAATAAAGTTATTTTTTCATGTGGTTCCAGCTGTGGGATGCAGTAGAGGGGTCTCTGCGGTGCAGTAATGAAGATGGAGTCTCTGGTATCACTGCGCTCGCATTTCTTAACAACAGGTAAAACTCAGATCTTTTGCTTTTTTTCTTAAACAAAGATTAACAAAAACAAGACACATATGTGTGTTTCTGTTTATTTAATTTAAAAAATTCTTTCTTTTTGAGTCAATTTATTTCTGTTTGCTTGTTTTTAACTTCTGTAAAGTTGGATGTGAAAAGTGGAAGAAATGCACGGAGTTCTGATATCTGTTCTGATTTTCTGTTCTCCTCAGAATCGTGGCAGCGCGACTGAACGGGTCGTTAGATTTCTTCACTGTTGAGATTAACAAACCTTTGGGTCTGCTGCAGTACAGAGGTGAGATGATCCTTGTATTTATTTGACCTGAAATGTGACACTATTGTGTGATATATTCGTTCAAAAAATGTCAATGCATTTCCGTGTTAAACATTGAGACAGAAATGGCCTTGAAAAGCTGCAATAACAGAGAAATGGTCCTTGCTGTGATGCCTTCAGGAACCCCTGGGCGAGGCAGCATGCCCCCGTCTCCCTGTTACAGCAGCGAGGACCTGATCAGCTGTCAGCTCACTCGCTCTGTACAGTGTGCCCACCAGAAGCCGATCACTGTGTTGCGAGCGGCCGCAGGCAGGGTGGTCACCGGCAGCCAAGACCACACAGTCAGGGTAACACCAGAACTTGTGCAATTTACAACCAGAATCTTTTAAAACATTACTGGCTTCTCTATTTTTATAAAATGCAACAGAAAAGGAAACAAATACTCTTATTATTTTCTGTTTGGTCAGGTTTATCGTCTGGAGGACTCCTGCTGCCTTTTTACCCTGCAGGGTCACTCTGGGGGGATCACAGCCATCTACATTGACCAGGTCAGTAACACAAAAATTCATCTTTACTCTTCTATCAAATGGCTGGAACACCAAATAGTCAGACATAATTTAGTCTACAAATGTTGACTGTAGAAAAATAAATGTGATTCAGGTTGTTTGAAACAGGGTGTAGTTTTATATTCTGCAAAAAAACAACATTTTTTCCTTTTTTTTTTTTTAAAGCACTTGTGATATTATGACTTTTTTCTCTTAATTTTATGTCAATTTTTTTTCTTAGCATGGCCCTAATACTCCATCATTCAAAACAAATATAAAAGTAATCTTTTTTTTTTTTCATCAGACGATGGTTCTAGCAAGCGGTGGGCAGGATGGCGCCATCTGCCTGTGGGATGTCCTGACAGGAAGCCGCGTCAGCCATGTCTACGGTCACCGTGGCGACGTCACCTCCCTGGTCTGCACTACCTCCTGTGTCATCAGCTCAGGACTGGATGACCTCATCTGTATCTGGGACCGCAGCACTGGCATCAAACTGTACTCCATACAGCAGGTACTGAACGGCTCGCAGAAAGTAACAGTAGAAATACAAAGAGAACCACAGAAAATATTTTTTTGTTAGGTGAAATAAAAAAATAAAGTCATCCTTTAAGTCATCTTTTGAACTGTCGAAACTTTGACAAATATACGTACCAGTTTTTATTACTTCATTTCATTTCAACCATAAACCTCAACAATCAAAGGGTATGAATACTAATTCATCCTCTTTATATTTTTTTTTTCTGTTATTGGTTTGAAGTTTGACATTTTGTCGAGTAAATCCTTTCCTGAAACAGGGAGTGTCTGTGCATCCTCAAAAGGTCTTAAGCTCATGTTTCTAAAATAAGGCCTTGAATTCTTTTTTTTTTTAAAGTTGGTCTGAAACACTTTAATCACTAGTCTTAAATTTTGTTGTGCAAGATATTTTCTTGTAAATTTTGCCAATGACAAAATTTTGAGTGGTTTGCAAACATCTTCATTGTGTTCAGATGGGCTACTGCTAATTAGCTGCTAATTTACTCTTGCTAGTTACAGTAGCTTGGTGAAACAAAAAGGTTAAGGCCTTGAAATGTCTTAAATTAATTTTTGGAATTTTTATTTATTTATTTATTTATTTTTGATAGTTGGCCTACACTACCTTAAATTATGTCGTGTCCGGCATTAGTTGGAGTGACTCGGGGCTGTTGATGATACCGTTAACTATCTTCTAATTTACCCTGGCTGTCTAGCATTTTTGCCTAGATGTCTTGCTTTTATCATGGACACGTGATAGAAGCAGTTGGCTATTTCACCACCAGTTGGTTTAACGACATTTGTTTTAACCACTTGTTCACATCTGCTGCCAACCTGTACAATGGAAGGAGCAGAAAGGTTCCTCATTTCAACTGGTTGTTTCTTCTCACCAGGAGGTTGGCTGTGGGGCCAGTCTTGGCGTGATCTCTGAGTCTCTGCTGGTGACGGGGGGCCAGGGCTGCGTCTCCTTCTGGGACCTGAACTTTGGCGACTTGCTGCAGACCGTCTACCTGAGCCAGAGCGGCGACGGTCAGGGCGTCCGGCAGCTGCTGGTGCTGGACAATGCCGCCATCGTCTGCGACTTCGGCAGCGAGCTCAGCCTGGTCTATGTTCCCTCAGTGCTGGAGAAACTGGACTGAGGAAGATGGGCAGCTGGCACCGGGTGGGAAACACTCACTCGGCTCTATCATCTTACTTTTTCTTTTTCATATCAATTATGAGAAGTTCAGATGTTGAGAAAGGAAAAAAAAACTATCTCAAGGGTCATGGGATATGAAATCAAATCCACCATTCCCCATCTTTTTGTTCATTGTAAGTGCGAGCTTGTGCGTTTGCTTCGTTGCTCTGCCCTGGATGCTGCTGTCTTGGATGGGACTTTCTGTGATCTGACCCTCTGAATGAGGAAGATGGAGCAGTTTCATGTTTTGTCTGTTTTTGTTTTTTTTATATTTCTGCTGTGCCGTTTCACTTGACAGAAAAGTTAAGTCACAGTTCTACAGTCTGTTGGGATGAGCAGATTATGCGAGAGTGTGTGTGTGTATAAAACCTAATCCAAGCCTTTTTTTTTTCTCCAAGCAAACACCTTCTGAAAGGAAGAACTGAATTGTGAGGAGGAAGTGTGTGTATGCGTGTGTGTGTGTGAGTGAGTCAGGATGGGGGAAAACTGGTGATTACTGTAAAAAGTAAACCTCCGGTGGAGGATGTTTTTATATGTATAAATCTATTATTTATTAGCAATATGTTTTAAGTAACAGTTTGTCTGTGAGTGGCTAATCCCAACTCTTTAACTTCAATATTAAGTGGAAATGATGATGACTAAATGTAGGAAGGTGTTTGTTTGGCAGCGTTGAGCCAACTTTTTAAACTGGTCGCTTTTAATATTAAGCTGGAAAGTGTTGGAGGTGTTGGGTCCAAACTGCCCCTGGGTCCTGCGGGAGTGGGCGGGGCTGGGGGCAGCGTCTGATTCACGCTACTCCTTCATCAGGCTACCTCCATTCTTGAATTTTGTTGACTGATGATGTTGTGCACGAGTTCTTACCGCCTTCTTTATGCTTGTCGCCTTCTGAGGTTATTATTCCGAATCATTTTATGACGGTCAAGTCCAGACTTCCCAAAGTAAATCTCAGTAACTTTATCATTTTTCTAGCAGAATAAAAGAACCAAATCATTGCCATGCACTGGGACGTTGTTACTGAAGGAAGAAAAGGCAAAGTTAACTATTTCTGTATCAGTAAAGTGTTTAAAAATGAAACCTTGAAAGTGGAAGAAGCAATTTCACAGAAATTTTGGTTCATTCAGGCTTCAAGACTCTAGATAATGAAAGTTAAAGAAGCTGGATCTGGAAATGTTGGCAGGCTCTTTAACAGAGTGGAGGTAAGGTTTTACTTTACCAGTGAAAGTGATGTTCAAAGCACATTCTGTAATGTTTTACGGTAATTCCTGCATCATAGTTGCTCAGTTTAATGTTGCTTCTACTCATGGCAGGAAGACTAGAGTAAAATATTGAAAATATGGTACTTGGTACTTTTCCAAGTTGCATTCTTTGAATTACCTGCCAGAAAAACAGGTCAGAAAAACGCTTTCATTAGACTGAATAAAAGGAATCAAACTTCTGTTCCCTGATCTCGTCACGTGCAGTTTAGAAAACTGTTTAGAATGTAATCCACATCCACATATGATCAACTTTTTTCCCCCGAAACAAAGAAAATTCAGAATGTATTTTCTCCATCTTCCCAGCTACAGTTTGTGTCTTATGAATGTAGCCTCACAGCATGAATTGAGTGCACTACTAACTGACTCTGTTTGATATGTTCACACATTTTAATGCACTTTTTTGTTAATGTCATCTTCCAGTTAGGAGCAGTGGGTGTGTTTAGGCTCCCACACAACTGCAGCACGGTAACACAAGCTGTGGTTTCTCTGGGATGCTGCCAACGTGTTTACATTCAGGGAATAACCAGCTGACCCTCGCAGATTATGAGAACTCGGGTTTTCTAATTATTATTCAAACAGGCAGTCAAATTGCACCTGCATCCCACAGAAACCAGGCCATGTTGCCGCCTTGTTCGTTTGTTTCCTGCTGTCTAGTAGAGAAAAGCTTTGGAACTAGATGTCGTTTTTGTTTTTTGATATTTTCTAACTGGTTTTCCTTCTAGAAATGTGAATGAGTTGAAGCTGAAGTTTGGCATTTTAGAAAATATAAATGTTTTTAAGTGCTGAGAACAGAATATTTACATCCAAGTAGGACGACACCGCAAAGCACAAAAAATAATCTGACGTAAAGTCTTCCTGAAAGGGATAAATCTACCCTGTGGAGATATTTCTTATTGCTGCTAAATATTAGAAAAACATGTGACTGATAATGAAATTAGGGCCACTGACTGACTCTGCCTTTCTTTCCTCTGAGTTTGAGAAACAAATCAGAACTCTGACTTTAATCTGGAAAATAACTCTTAGCCAAAAAACAGGGTAGAATTTACTTTTTGATAGAGACAATGTTTTGACTTTTTCACATTTTTCTGTTCAAATTCCTTTTTTTTTCTCAATTGGAGAAACAAGTCAGAATTCTGGCTTTAATCTCAACGCTTATAATTAGAGTCCTCCAGCTAAAAACACTGATTAAAAAAGTAAAAAAAAAAAAGGCAAAAAACCAAGTTAATTTCAGAGATTCCTCAGCAAAAAGACTGACAAAAAGTCAGAAATTTAGTTTTTATTTACCTGAATTCAGACATTTTTCCCTCTCTGATTTTGAGAAGTCAGAATTCTTCATCTTTATAAAAACATCTTCAGAAACTCATCATCCAAAACAAGCAAAATAATGCCGTAAATCCACCAGAAAAGTTATTTCTCCTCCGACACAACTAACGTCTTTGAAGCTGGTTGCTCTGAGGTGACCAATCTGAATTTTAACAGAGCACCCCAACATTCAGTGGCTTAAATCTTTTTCCTTAAAATGACCGCAGGCGTTGAACCCACAATTTTTCCACTCTTCGTTGTCCCTCAATCGTCCCTTGTTCCATTCCATTGGTTAATCAGTACACAGTGTGGTAGCTATTAAAAATTATTCATATTTGCCAAAATGCCAATGATTTTTTTTAAGGAGCAAGTTCACTTTAGTCTTAGCCTTTTTATGAATGTTTTGGTTCAGATATGGACTTTTTATAATAATCCATATTCAGCAGCATTTTGCCTGGTAGCTGATGAGCTCTGTGCTTCATGCGAACACCTTCCCATGCTTTCAGTTTCTCCATATCAAGAGTTTGTGGCTGCAGAGAGATGCAAACAGATCCTGTACCTGGGCAGAAATCAGTCAATAGAATTTTATCTCCACATCTGGACATACCGTTAAGCAGAGCAAAGAAAACTCTGCTTCTCATAATATATTTCTGCAGGCTGGTGTAACAGAGGTAACTTATTTTGTAACAAAAATGTAAGACTTTGTACTAATTTTCAAATAAAGAGGCTTTGATACAATACCTTTTTATTATTTCTACTTTATTGAATGTCTTTACAATAATGAACAATTAGTGATTTTTCAGTAAAGGAAGATTTCTTTTGGAGTCATCTAACTTTATGTAGGATATTTACAGAGTTACAGAGAAATAAATCAACATGTTAAAACATGCCAATTTGTTTGATGATTTGTTACCATGACAACAAGGTTCCAAACTACTCTAGCCAAGCTCATCCCAAATTTTCACAGCCTCGTGTGAAGAAGGTTGGAGTGCATACGTGTCAGACGGCCCAATATGTTGGAGCTGGAAGTGCACAGCTGTCCCAAAACGTAAAAAGAAAAGCAGCAAAAGGTGACCGAGCAATCTGAGAGATGCAAGTGCATAGTGATCTGGTCCTAGAATCCACCAGTAATGAAAAGAGAAGTGAGTGTTGTTTTTTGTTTCAGGGATCTCTCTGCTACCGCTGGCCAACAGGCACATCTTGGTAATCTTCTCTAAAGTGTTTCTGACGCTCCCAGGATTCAGGTTCGTCTTCATAAGCAGGATTAGGGGGGGAAAGCTACAGGCCTTTTGCTGACCCCTGGTGGTAAAAAGAGAGAACGGCAGCAGCCTTGATTTGTCTCAGTGCTTGTTGAGGCTCCAGAGCGGATCCAGGCTGCTGAGCGGGTCGCTGCTATCGTCGCTTCGCGTCCCATGGATGCCCTGACCTTCGGCCGGCTGCAGGAAGTTCTGCTTGGTGACTCGCTGCTTCCCCCGGCCACCTCCCTCCAGGGAGAAGGCCTCGGGCGTCAGAGAGGCCAGCAGCTCCAGTGATGAGGGAGCAGGAGCGGAGGAAGCAGGAGGCGGACTGGCTGAAGGTGTCAACTCCGGGAGGGGCTGCTGGTTCTGTGCAGGCGGAGTCGATGGAGAGAGACAGTCGAGACCGTTGGGTGGCGGAGGAGAGTGAGGCGGGGAGGTAAGAGGTGGGCTTAAGGATGACGGAGGCTGACTGGGGTCCTGAAGCAGCTGCACGTCGCTCATTGAGTCCAGGGTTGGTGACATCACCCCAAAATGCTCCTCTGGGCCGCAGGTGGCGCCACCCTCCATGGGGAGGTCTGCGCTGGGCGGGCGAATGCTGAGCTTGGCGATGGTGGCTTGGATGGAGCTGATGGGCATATCGCCGCCGAGGACAATATCCTGCTGGGACTCCTGTCTGGAGTAAGGCTGGAGAGCAGGGTCATGAACAAGACCAATGTTAAAATACGATAATAATATAAAAATACAGCAGAATTAACTATCAAACTATGGCTGTTTCTGTTCTACTGATAATGAAGTGAGTACCTCTGCTGACCAGAACTCCTTTAGACATGTCGAAGTGCAAAACATGAGCAGAAACATTTCAGATTCATCTTTACGACATTACAAAATAAATAAATAAACATCTGGATCATAATTTGACATCTTTAACTGTCTCACTGTTTACTGTCTAATTATGACAGTAAAACCTCAACAAATTTAACAAAAAAAAAAAAAATGAGTAAGGAAACACTCTGGGCGAAGCAAAATGAGAATAAAACATAGCAGGAGGAAATATGACCATGATTATTTAAAGCTGGGATTTGCATGACTGTCTGAAGATGCTCCATTCCCAGTGTTGTTGATTTTTATTTTTTCTTTATAGGAGGCTAAATGAACTACTGTCTCAGCAGAATTTACTTTATATTTTTACCATCATAAATGACAAGGCAACTGGTGTGTCATGTAATGTGGCGCTATGCATAGCTAAAGCAGATAATCCCAATGACATCAGTGAAATGTAATAATGGAACATCAAATACAGAAACAGCAAAAAGTTTAACAAAATAATATCAATAATATAGTTGAGACAAAGCTAGTTCTCCCACTCTTTCAAAAACCCTGCTTTAAATAAAACAATAAAAACTAAATGGAGCATTTAAAAAAAATAAGAACTATTAGAAACCTTTGTGGCTGCAGAGTTTGTGTTCTTGCTGTAGGTGGCAGTAGTGATGCCATGGCGCTGAAGGACTTGCTCAGCGTGTTTCAACACAGTTTCATAGCAAAACTTCAGGTGGAGCTGAAAGCACACAAATAGTCAACAACAATCTTATATACATTAAAATTTATAGAGTGAAATCCTGAAAGCTAAATTATGATAAAACCAAAATGTTTCCCTGGCAAGCCTGATCTACATCACAGCTAAAACCCAAACAGGTTCCCAGTTCAGTATCTGACCTTCTCCTGCAGCATGTTCTTCCTCTGCTGTCTCATCTTCTTCACCAACAATGGAAGGTCTGGAATGCCGTTTCCAGCCTCCAGCTCCTGCAGAGCCGCGTACAGCAGACAGAAGGCGCCGGTGCGTCCAACGCCCGAGCTGAGACAGAAAGAGCACCAGCTGATATTAGTGCTAACTGAAACAAATGCTGCGATGTGAAAAAACAACCACTGAATCAGATGCTGGGTTGGTGTTTTCACCTGAATAACTCACAACTCACCTGCAGTGAACCACAACAGGAGTCTGTAAGGGCCTCTGGTGGAGGTAATGTCCGTGAACCTCCTGGATGAATCGCAGCAGGTTGCTCTTGCTGTCAGGAAGACCTCTAATAACACAAGAAGAAGAAACGTTACAGATCAGGATTCTCACTTTCTAAACATTTTCAAGGTAAGTTTTCAAACATTCCCAGCACCACACCAAAGAAATAAAAACTGAACTGAACTAAAAAAAAAGACAGTTTCAACTTACAATTATATATCATTTATCACTCATTTATTTATTTGTGTTAGTATTCTACATTCAACAGCAGGGTCAAGGTAAACTAAAATATAGCAATATTTTATGTTTTGGAATGTTACACACACCTGACTTATCCAAGAACAAAACATTTAACAAAAAAAAAATTCCCAGTCAAAATAACTTTGTTCCCCATTTTGGAACTTTAAACATGATAAATTAACCAACAGTTTGTAAAAAAGAAATTATACCAGCTAGAAAAAGACTGATAGGAGCATCTCTGACAGTTAGTGAACCTCTTACAGCTCTGGCCAGGATGTAAACTGGAGGTGGACAACGGTCCGCTTCAGGCTTTGGTCACGGTACTGCAAACTGATCATGCGCTCCACATGTGTCGGCGTCATCTTCTGTGTGGTGAGACTGAGTGTGATTGGTCCCTGAGAGACCTGCTGGCCACGCTCTGTGGGGAAGTAGCGCAAAACTTTTCCCTAGGAAACATTTCACAAAAGCAAAGGTCACAAAATTTGAAAAAACAACTTAAATTCATAGATATCACGCTTTAAAACATGGTACCTTGTCGAGCTCCAGCTCCGAAACAAGCATGACAATGAGCGAGACCTTCTGCTCGTACACCATTAGCCAGAAGTCAGCCGCGGTGCCGGAGAGTGGAGCCTGAGTGGCAATCAGGCGAGGGCAGTACGGCGACAAGTCGTCTACAAAGCTGGCGTTGATGTAGTCATCTTTGCCTGACTGCAGAACAACACGGTTGAAATCATAAGGCATGACATCCTGGTGGCGGTTCTTCATCGTGTAGCAGCGGGCGATGGCGATGGACAGCTGCCGGGCGTCCTTCTCCTGCTGGTCCTGCAGCTCTTTCCAGCGGGCGTCCAGTACAGACACCCCTCCTTCATTCTCTGAGGGGTGCTCCAGGGATTCTACCTGAGCCCTATAATGTCCCAGTTCACTGTGAAGACGGGCCACACGTTCTGGGGCTCGGTACGGATCTCCCTGGATCAGCAGAACTCCCTGGGAGTTCTTCTTTCGACGCTCCCCGTCCTGAGGGTCTGCTTTGGTGGGTTGGAGGACATTGGTAGGCCCCTTAGTCCCTCCGTGTTGGCTCTCTGGGCTGGAGGAGAGGAGATCATCTGTGCTAGAGTTTTGGCGTTGAAACAAAGATGTGGCTGGAGGAACACCAGAGGGGGTGGAAAGAGTGGTTGGGGCTGCGCCTCCCGGAGTGGGTGTCACACCCAGAGAGGCTGGACCAGGAGACAGGGACGGGGATGGAGAAGGAGAAGGTGCAACAGTGTTGGTTGGTGGTACTACTGCGGGGCCTCCAGGACAGGGTGAAATCATGAGTGGAGCTGCAGGGGACAGGGGGCCGACCACAGGGGGCGGTTGGGGGGCACCTGGAGGAATGTTTGTCCCTGCTGCAGAAGGATAGAGAGTAGCAGGTTGGGAGTGAGTCATAGGGAGAGAAACCTGAGGTTGTGGTAGAGATGCAGGTTGTGGTGCCAAAGGCTGCTGAGGCATCATTAGAGCTCCACCAGGGTAGCAACCCCCTCCAGGATGAGAAGGGTGAGGCTGGGGTTGACTCGGCATCTGCATGGGAATGGGTTGACGCTGTGCAGCTAATGCATTCTGAGGCATTTGGGGGACAGGACCTCTTGGCAGGTTGACCTGGGGACCAGAGGGCACATGTGGCTGAGAGGAAGGAGGCATCTGAGGATGCAGGTTTGGGGGAATGTAATTATGTGACACAGGAGGTATTGTTTGACTCGTAGGTGGCAACTGTGCTCTGTGACCAGCTGGTATTTGCATCTGTGGGTGTGGCAGAACATGCTGAGCACCAGGAGGGACTGGAATTTGTTGATGCTGTGGCATCTGTTGGTGAGGGAGTCCAGGGGGCATCTGTTGGTTGGGATAGGGTGGGTATGGGGCAGATAGTGGAGGTGTTGGGTGAGAAGTTGAAGATGTTGGTGGATGTGCAGACTGGGGAGGCCTTGGCATAGAGCCTGGCATCATCTGAGGGTGTTGCTGGGGTACAAAGTTTTGTGGAGCCTGATAACCTTGCGGTACCTGAGGTCGGGGAGAAAAACCATTTTGTTGGTGTTGATGAAGCTGACCTGGAAATGCCTGCTGGTAATTTGGAGGAACATTAGGCTGAGGTGGAATGTATCCAGGGGTGTAAACTTGTTGAGTTGGAATAGGAGCGGCCCTTGGTCCTGGCTGAAACCCCTGAGGAAGAGGTTGGGCAATAGGCTGGGGGTACATGTGCTTCTGAGGTGCAGTTGTC